TTTTAATTCTACTTTATCTATATTTATCTTATTTTTTATATTTTTATTTAAAAAACAACAACAAAAAACAAACAAACACTAGCTTTCTATTTTTTCTATTCTATCTACTTGTTTTTCTTTGTGTGTGTGTGTATATGTGTGTGTGTATAATATATATATTATACACACACACATATACACACACACACACACACATACATATATATATATATATATATACACCTTGCTACGTGTACTGCGTTAGGCTAACCGAGACTTGTCATTTGCACTTATATATTGTTGCTCTTTTGTTAATTTTGATTGCTTCCATTGTCCTCATTTGTAAGTCGCTTTGGATAAAAGCGTCTGCTACATGACTAAATGTAAATGTAAACACTCTTCCACCCCAGCCTAAAGGAATTTAGCATTTAATAAACTTCTGTATCTGATGGCTACCAGGGAACCATCTCAATACATTGCACTTCAAAGGTCTGAAATCTTGCTATTTCAAGAAAATGCTGATTTTAAAAATTATAGTTAGAGTTAATCAAAATAGAGACAGTTGTGGTCAGGCTTTGAACCTTTAGACATTTTTGCCATGACTTTAATTAGGACCTTTAGACTTCCTGTCAGACTTCCTACAGACAGCTTAGAAACTCTAGTCTACACAGTTGTGTTTTATGATTAAGAAAATTTGAGGACGAGGGTGTGATGATGAAGCTATCACACCATTTTCATCATTATTATTGCCAAAATGATAGCTCTTCTGAGGGAGCACGTATAATTAGCCATTCATAATGTTTTAATTAGGTTACAGAAACTAATAAAAATATTAAGATAGATGGTTAACACTCTTAAACCCAATGAGTTTAGTATTTTTATTTTATTTCTTCAGATAAAGTTCTAAATAAAATAAATAAATAAAAGATTCTAAAGATGTGCCAAAGTCGATCTGCTCTTTCACCTATTGAGCAATGTCCCCTGTCACATTTATGTGGAGCTCTAGCTGAAATTCATCTCTCCTCTGGGAGGAGCAATATATGGTTGACCTTCTCTTTCATTGCAAATCATTGCAAAGACTGAACCTATTCCACTTCTCTCAACCCAGCCTGGGCTTGTTGCTTTTTCTTACGTCCAGTGGTACTGCGATGGATAGCTGGCTCACATTGGTTTGTTGAATGTAGGCAATTTGTGTTTCTTAACTGCCCCACTGCTATAAGGTTTTATTTTATATATAGGCATAAACCACTCAAGTTGCTTTTTTTATTTTTGTCCATGAAAGTCAGTGTACAGATAATAGAAAGAGAAAAAGAGAGTAAAACAGTAAAGAATAGAACAAAGCAATGAAATACCTCCAAAAACTTTTAAAATAAGACAAAGGACCACCCTATGATGTCATGCTCCTTTCCTTCTGTTTCATTACTGTGTGATTGTTATAGCAGACTTCCCTTTTCACCCGTGAAATAACTTCCTTTTAGAATGTTGTGGAGACTTAAACCTAATGTACTTTCACATATCTAATAGATGTGAACAAATAATCAGCACTATTTGCATCAGACTGGGTAGAGAAGCCAAGCACTGATAGAAACCCGATCTCTTAAAATTCATTTTAGCACAAAGTCAGAGAGCTGAATACCAAACAACGATCAGGTGACACACTGGGTCTTATGCCACTGTTGATCAATGTAATACTTTGGAAGAAATCCCATCAAAATGAAAGCCACCTGCTGGGAGAGAAATGTTCCTGGGTTGTTCTTGCTTCTCTGAAAATAATCAGTTATCTAAATAGTGAAATAGCAAAAGTTAAATGTAAAATTTGTCATCTACTCAAGTCACATCACTTGTATAACTTTTTTTCTGTGGAACAAATGTCTTTGTTTTTTAGTCCATACAATAAAAGTCAGTAGGGTAAAATATTGTTTTGAGCTCCACCAATTTTCATTGTGTGGACTAAAACAGTTGAGACTTTGGGTAACACTTTAGAATAGGGAACAGTTTTCCCTCAATAAACTCCTAATTTGCTGGTTATTAATAGTTAGTAAGGTAGTTGTTAATTTTACGTGTGGTGCTGGATTAAGGGATCTAAAATATGGTCATGCAGAATAAGGCATTAACATGTGTGCTTTATAAGCAGAGATGGGCACAAATACATCAAAAAAATATTTTGTTACAAATTACAAATACTTGCTCATCAAATGTATTTAATTAAAATACAGGTGTGAGAAATGTGCTAAATTAAAATACAAGTAATTTGTCATTTTTGAATTTGAAAATACAAAAATACATATACAATATTTACAAGCCATCATTTGAAGTGCAAGAGACAGTGCCATTACAGTAGAGTAAGATAAAACACATTTAGTAATAGTGGAGTTAGATACACTCATAAGAGAAAGAGAAGTGCTTTCCCCTCTTTGAACAACTTATAGACAACATATTCTTTAACCATAACACTAGACACTAAAATATTATAGAGCATTAGCCAGGATGGAGTCTATTTACTTCAGCTTAATAATTTATTCTTCATTTTGTAAAACTTTTAATTTAAGAAGACACAAAACTGACAGAAAACTTAGTAATGAAAAACGGTATCTTTATCCTAAAGAGGTAGACAGTATGACCAAAAATTCTATTTCATATAACAATGTATATCACAATATAGTTATTTTTAATTTATTTGATTTTTATTAGTAAAAATAAGCACAAAAATGAAAATAACAAACAACATGGCTAGTACAATTTAGTAACGATATAAATGAAATTGAAATGAAATTTTTATAAAGATCCTTTATGTTATTCGTGTACAGTATTCTAGCAGTAGCATTTTAGTAAAACAAATAACATAAATTGAATGATCAAATGTAAAATAAAACTGCATTTTCTTTACTCTATGAATTACATGTACTGTAGATTGATCATTGTTAAAGTTACTTAAGTAATTCAGTCAAGAGCAGTGAGTTATTTTCTCTTTGTCTTATTGTCTGAATACAATTAAGGATATAGACAGCAGCAGGTATGTTGGGCTGCTGTCACTTTAAGATGCATACATGGATCCAATATATCAATCCATATTTCTTCTAATTTCTTATGTTCACTTAAGACACAACCGACTGTGTTTACGTGAATATCATCAAGCATGCCTATGCTTTATTTTTTCATTCATGTTTCTTTATCACTCCAACACGTCCAAAATTAAGCAGTCCTGCAGAACAATATTATATTGTCATACTGCCTAGTCCTACTCAAGAGGATGGATCAAGCTATTTCACTGTCAACAATGAAGATTAACTCGTAAAAATGCTGATATTTAGCTGTTGAATGGGGCTCTGTGTAGAGTTCAGAAACTCTTGTTATTAGCGACCGGTGGCTGTTAAGTGAACTGCAGCCAGCAACTTACTGCTCGTGCTTGTGCACACACTCCATAGTTATGCGAGCGAGCGACGGCCAAAACAGTGAGTGAACGTGATCCACCAACATCATGTCGACAGATGAGGTTCATTAAATTTACACAGTTATGATCGTTTCCTTTGGATTTTCCTGGCAAAACCGCCCTGAGTCCTTCACATAAAAATCAACAGATTTCATCTCCTTTTTTTTTAAGTTTTGTTACATGCTGGTCACACATTAGCAATAAAAAGTGATTAAAGGGGTCATATGATGTTGCTAAAAATAACATTATTTTGTGTATTTGATGTAATGAAACTTTCACAACGAAACACAGCATCACACACGGTGGCCTAGAGTGAGCGACGGCGGCCTATAGTGAGAGGAGGCCATCTTGAGTGAGCGGAGAATAAAAGTTCTGCCTAAGTACTTTTATAAAGAATATCTCTTTGGATTTGAGACTTCAGTCTTTGCAACTTTACAGATCTTCTTTATGCACCAAGAGCTTGTAACACTTCAAAGAGAAAGGAAAAATTGAAATCGCATCATATGACCCCTTTAATACTTGAAAATGCTTTCATATAGCCCCTTTAAAGTTTTGTCCATAGAAACAAGTAGCTAACTTTAGCTATAGCAAACAAATTCATGAGTTCTAGAGCAGCACAGCTATTTACAAATTGCTCTTTTCTTCTGTCCTGTAATGACATTCAGTGAGCAATATCTGATAGTATGTATTTTAGTACATACTTAACCAGTTTGCACTGGGCACCAAAACAGTTTCTTTCATTGTTTTTTTTTTCCAGTTGGAACCAACCATGGGCGTTAAGACTCCATCTATGGGTCCAACACGATGTCATATGATTCGCTTGCATCTTGCCAAAAACTGTGATAAGTCCGTAGAAGAAGAAACTCATTTTTCAAAAGTCAAATGATGGCAGATTTTTATTTTTTTGGTGAAATGCAAAGAATATACACAATATATAAAGAAGTTAGTCACAAAAATGCTCATAAACAGATTTTTAAAAACATTTTACTTAATTGTCCTCTTTTTCAGAATTTGACGGCCACTCGTCCACTGTAAGATACCAAACCAAAACCCCTGGATTCAGTTCCAAGTCTGTTATCCACAATGGCAACAGAACAATGGCGGTAAGTGTGACCACATTCACTACATTTCCAATTGCATAATTTATTTGAAGCCAATACTAACTGAGCCTGTTTTAGTAAAGCATTAAGCTTTACAATAGACCCTGTGATAACATTTCCGTATAATTTCAAGGTCCAATTTTAAAAGCCCAGACAGGAATCTGATTGTTTACAGAAAGGAATCACATTGTTAATTTCAAACGGCAAGCTCGATGTTAGCTACTGAGTTAAATTCTATAATTGTATATTATTTTGCACTAATAGCACTATTAAAATCAGGTCAGAACAGCCATCCGTGAATAGTTATTTGTTGGATTGATTGCAAAGTCCACAATCCCTTGACAATGACACTCTGTGTGGCTGCACCCTACAAACACAATGATGCGGTATTTTGCGTTCTCCTGTGGGAGCTGTGTTTAGAAAATGAAGCGGCGTACTAGCAAGCTGCAGAATTGAACTCCGAGCCCAATGTGCATCTGAAACATTCCTAACCCAAGACCTCATGAGCCAAATGGTGGACTGGAGGCCAAGTTATCCCTTCTGTGTGATAGCAGTGAGCCTGCAGGAGCAGTTAGCATGTGCTTAATCACGTAATCACTGTATAATTTTGATTTTCATATGACTTCATTTTACTCAGACGCCTCGACTGTCTCAGTGCGCAGGAGAATTTTCCTCTCGCTCTGCAGTAGAAATGGGCACTCGGCAGAGAATCAGTCATGGTGTGCCTGTGCCTGCCGTAGTGGGCCGTCCGTACATGTACCATGATGACGCACATCTGAGTGGCTCTTACAACCAGATGCAAACATCGGAATCAAGGACACTGAGTCGGACTGAGCAGGAGGCAGCAGCAATGGCCGGGCTCACGTTGCAACGGCAGCCATCTCCTGTGGGGAACTGGATGGCGTCCTATAGCCACAGCTCTTCACCCAACGTGGTGCAAAGACAGCACACCCTTAGTGGGACCCTGGCACGAGAGGGTTTCAGCACAGGATGGAGGGAAGCAGAGTTGGCTAATCAATATTCATTTAAAGGCCCTTCCCACCGAACCATCAGCCGCATAAATAATCGTCAGGTGCAGCAGCAGCCACAACAGCAAAGGCAGAGCAGCAGCTCGATGCAGTGGCAGCAGATGTCCACTGGGGGCACCAGTATGATGGGTGCTGGGCATTACCAGGGCACCATGAAGAGAGCGGGGTCTGTGCATAGTATGAAGAGTGTCGGTCGTGGTGTGGATGTTTATGACGGATTGGCCGATGGAACCGCAGATGCTCTTGGCGGGTAATGTAAAATCATCTTTTAACTGATCAGGGCCCATATTCACAAAACATCTTAAGGCTAAAAGTAGCTCGTAACTCTCCGATTTAGGAGAAAATCTTTAAAATAATGGGCGTGTCACTCCTAAATTTAGGACTCCTACATTTTTGATCTAAAAGTATTTCACAAAGAATTTTAGCTCTAAAACTAGCTCCTAAATCTGTGAAACGTTAGGAGTAGTGAAGAGGACTCCTAAGTCATTAAGACCAAGCCACAAACTACCCTAAAATGGCTGTTGCCGGCAATCTGCCTTGGAACGTATACATTTTAGAAATATTTGACGATAATGAGCTTTTATAAAGGCATCATCTTCGGTTTTGAAGGTTATCCCAACTCCAAATTTTCCTTTGATTATGTCCTTGTTTTCATTAACCAGTTGGGCAAGAAGTAACAGCTGTGCTTGTGTCCAGTTTGGTTTTCTTTTACATTTGCATGTCTTACTATCAGCCATGATTATTCTACTCTGTTTATTAAAAGGCTGTTTATTAGGGGTGCTCCGATTGATCGCTACCGATCACTATCGGCCGACAATCGCTTTGGGATGATTGATCAGCGGTCTCTAAAAAGGCAGATCTAAAAAAAACGATCTAATCACAATGCTGAAAAAGCATTTTAAGTAACAATGTTTGGATTTAAAATCAAAATAATGGCAAGATACTGCTTTCTGTGATCGGTGATCGGCCTCAAAAATCCAGCTAGCACCCCTACTATTTATATGCATATTCACTAATTATGAGAAGCATACATGTAAGAGGCTGACAATT